TAATGTGATATGACAATGAGATGTGATAATGTGATATGACAATGAGATGTGTTAATGTGATATGACAATGAGATGTGTTAATGTGATATGACAATGAGACATGAAAATGTGATATGAGAAAAGCATGGTGTCTTGATTGACATGCATCATGTGCATAAATGTTTTTTTAAGGGTACGATATGGAATACACCGCCAAAGAAGGCCCCCTAGTGTAAAAGCTTTGGGGATTAGTCGTTGGAGATAGCTCGGTTTGTAAATCCTAGTCTCTCCCATTGTGTGCATGGGATGTATCTTGCGCGGCTTAGCTATCCCGACGAGACTCTGGTAGTATGTCCTTCTAGTGAGAGTGCGCAGAGGGTGTGACCCGACATGTACTCCTAATCTACTCTTTGTGTATTGCTAGCGGCAATATGCCATGTGATATGTTACTAGCGCCACATGCATGAAAAAATGTAGTCTGTGTCCATACATATGAATTTTAATGTTATATGAAAAATTGATATGTCTTGGATGAGTGAGATGTGATATTTTTATTAATTTATCTATGCTATACATGTTTTGTTTGTGTTTGGCTATCTGGTGTATATGCCTACACTGTGAGCTAGAGTGAGATGTTTCTCACTCTCTTTTCTTTGTATTGCTTTCCTTTGATTGTTATACAGGTGATCATCAGCATGAGGCTGAAGATGTTGGTAATGAAGCTTAAGCTTCTATGTTGGGATTTGCTCTGATAGGACATGTGACCTCGGGGCGTAAATAAAATTAGATTAGGATGTTGTTCTTATTAAATTATTTTGAAAAACTTAGTTTTATTTCTTTGTAATTTTATTGACATGTTATTTGGATTAAGTTTATGAATGTGAACTCTTTGCCCTTATGTGGTTAGGGATTTGGCTTTTTTTATGAAGAATTTTATTGAATTTTATTTTATTTTTTTAATTACGATATATGTATGTTGGGGTAGAGGGTGTCACATGTTGTAAGAAGTCTTTGGGACCGCTTAAACACTCTAATGCTTGACAAGGAAATAAAGAAAACAAGAAAGTAAATATGCAACTAGTCGTGTTCCTAAGCAAAAGTTTGGGTGGACACTTTTGAGTCTTCCAACATACTTTCACAAGTACTAAATGAAAACTACTAAAGAACTTTACAAACAAATTGGATGTTTTGAGTAGGCACTTAAAACCCCTCAAAATCACTTTCAAGCAATAGACCTTTACAACACAAAGAACATAAGATCAAAATCGAGAATGAAAATTAAGGAACAAGTCTTCAATCTTTCTCCTAAACAATGAACAAACACATTATTGTAATATAGCTCTAGTATTTGCACTCCACTCAAAATTTTTAGCTCCCAAGCTCCTCCAAAAGATAGCTTCTCCCATGGAGTCAATCTCTTAGGCCTTTATTAACATTCCAATATCCTATTATCCAGACCTCATTAGGATATTATTGTGCTTTGCTTCAAGAAATGGTGGAATCATGCAATCTGTAGTGAAAGGGAAGCTTATAAATCTTGATGGACCAACCCTAAAAGGAGTTGCTGGGTTGAGCGAAACCAGGGGCACAAAGCCCTAATCTTTCAACTTTGGTGATCTTGAGGAGCTGGCAACCTTTAGGGACTGTCAAAGGAATCCGGAGAACGCAAACTATAGTAAGTTTTTTGCTAGAGGTATGAAGAAAAATTATAGGTTAATCTCTTTTATAATTGCTTGGATGCTTAAGCCTAAACTTCATAATCATGCTCAAATGTCTAGAGATGATATTCTGCTGATGCATGTGATTAAGAAAAAGGAAAAGATTGACTGGGTCTCTATTGTAAATGATTGCATTTGGAAAGCTAGTAGAAAGGAGGATGGTCCTATATCATATGCTTTGTTATTATCTAGAGTGTTTGAGAATGCAGGGGTAGATCTTCAGGGGGAGAAAAAGATTATTCTCCATGCTTCAAATAAAACTAAGAAATCCTTTTTGCATCACATGGGGATGTTGAAGCAAGAGGATAAGTGGATATTCAAGAGAGATATTCCACCTACACCTGAACCAGCAACTGATGAAGGTGGTGTTCCATCTCATGATGAGGATCAGCCACCACAAGTGGAGTAAGAACCGGAACAAGAGCACCAATCGGATCCCAAGGAATTTTCTCCTTTTGAGCAAATAATGATAAACAAGCTTGATTTTATCATAGAGATGACAAGGAAGTATGAGTCTCAATATTCTAGCATTCTTGATCAGTTTGACAACCTTGATCATAAGATTGCAAGGATTAAGACTCAGTTGGGAATTCAAGAGGATCCAGAGTGATGTGCTTGGTTGGTGCTATGTTTTTAGGAGCTTCATGTTTTGTTGTAGGAGTTTAGTTTCAATTTAGTGGTTTTTAAAATTCCAAGTTTTTTAGTATTTCAATTTGGTTGTAATGATTTTAATTTCTGAACAATTGTGTTTTGTTTTAAATTTTCAATTTGGTTGTAATAGTCTTAAGTGTTGAACAATTTAATTCTGGTATAATTTAAATTTGGTTGTGTTTTGATATTGACTTATCATAATTTGAGCATTGGTATACATTTGTGATGCACTTGATGTATATTTATTAATGTTTCCTAGTGCATATGAAATAGTGCTCATAAGAACATGTGTGACTTATTTCTTGGAATTATTTGTGTATAAAATGTTAGACACATATGTATTGTGTATTCTTATTTTTCGTATGAATGTTGGACAAACATTTTTGTGCATATATACATATGGAATCTACAATGATATTTCTATACACTTGGGCATATTACTTTTATAAGTTCTATTGTATGTTTTTTATGTCCAAAGGGGGATAAATGTTTTGAATTTGTTTTGCAAGTTTGTCTACTAACAAGGCATGAACAAGCTAACAAGCTACTCATATTGTCATTTAACTTGAGCAAAACATATTGGTTAGAAAAACATATTGGTTCATCAAAAAGGGGGAAATTGTTGAGATTCATGGATGATGAATCAAACTCAACTCTGAAGTTCTGAGAGTTTTGATGATAACAAAGGACACAAACTAATAACAAAGGACAAGCTAATCAAGAAAAGAAGACATGAAGATCATGAAAGAAATGCACGTACCTTTATGTGAATTAGGGTTTCACTGGACCTTGGGCCCGAGATTAGTTATGATCTATTTAGATAGTGGGCCTTATCTTGGCCGATGTCGCCTGGCGCGTGTCCGATGTCAATCTGCGCTGTGACGCCGAGCTCGAGCTCGCCTTCGCGGTACGGATAGTACACTAGCCCCCCAAGCTCCGAAGACCGTGGGTCGAGGAGTTAATACCGAGCTTGATGAAGGGTCATGACTCTTCGCGTACGCTTCTCTGACGTGACATCATGTGTCATGAATGTCACCTTGTTCCCATAACGCGTGGGCGGCGTGTTAATGGGAGGTGACAGTTATGTAATGATGGGTGCAGTTTGTCATAATGCGCATCATTTAATGTGCCGTCAGTTGTGTCTCCTCCCCCCCACGTCTCACGTCCGTTTCAAATTTGGAGACTTCTTTTCTTTCCCTCTTTCGCGCGCCCTCTCACATTCACTTTACCCTTCCTTCTTTGGCGTGCTTTCGACGCTTCGACTTTCCTTGCTCACTCATCGTCTCCGTTTTCCTTGTCCCTACTCTTCCTCGTCGTCGCCGTTTCCGGCAATCAGGTCCTCATCCTTCGTCATTGTTTTATCGTTGTCAAGGGAGTACTAGGTACTTTGCCTTCTCTGTCTTCTTTTCTCATTCTTTCTCTCTACCGGGCCCCTTCTTCTTTTCTCCTCGTCTATCCCTTTTCACGAGTCTTTTGGTTTCTTGATGGCTGGAGAGAGTAGTGCGCACCTTCTGCACCGGCCAAAGGTAAAGGCAAGGCTCGCGGCAAGGCGGTGGCCGACGAGACGGCCGCCGCTGAAAAGAAGAGGGG